AGGGAAAGAAAGGGGCAAGATGAGTGTGAGAGAGAGAAAGAGGCAGGATAGGTGTGAGGGGACTCAGCGACAATGCCTGCAGCCATCGCGCCTGACTGCCTGTGAGACTCATTCACATGCAGGCGGAACGGCTGGCAGGCTGTCCCTCACAATCACCCCATACACTTGTCTTGTTCCTCACATTTCCCACACACCCAACTTCTCCCTCACGCACCGATCCTGCCCGCCTACTTTCCAGTACATCAACCCGCCTACTTACCAGCCAATCAACCCGCCTACTTACCAGCCAATCAACCCGCCTACTTACCAGCCAATCAACCCGCCTACTTACCAGCCAATCAACCCGCCTATTTACCAGCCAATCAACCCGCCTACTTACCAGCCAATCAACCCGCCTACTTACCAGCATATCAACCCGCCTATTTACCAGCCAATCAACCCGCCTACTTACCAGCCAATCAACCCGCCTACTTACCAGCCAATCAACCCGCCTACTTACCAGCCAATCAACCCGCCTACTTACCAGCCAATCAACCCGCCTACTTACCAGTCAATCAACCCGCCTACTTACCAGTCAATCAACCCGCCTACTTACCAGTCAATCAACCCGCCTACTTACCAGTCAATCAACCCGCCTACTTACCAGTCAATCAACCCGCCTACTTACCAGTCAATCAACCCGCCTACTTACCAGCCAATCAACCCGCCTACTTACCAGTCAATCAACCCGCCTACTTACCAGTCAATCAACCCGCCTACTTACCAGCCAATCAACCCGCCTACTTACCAGCTAATCAACCCGCCTACTTACCAGCTAATAAACCCACCTATATACCAGCTAATCAACCCGCCTACTTACCAGCTAATCAACCCGCCTACTTACCAGCTAATCAACCCGCCTACTTACCAGCTAATCAACCCGCCTACTTACCAGCCAATCAACCCGGCTGGCTGCCAGTCATCCAGCCCTCCTGCCTACTTCCCAGCCATCCACCCAACCGTCCCTCCAACCACTCTGCCAGCCATCCCTCCTACCTCCCTGCCATCCATTCAACCTTCCCTCCTACCTCCCTACCAGCCATCTAACCCTCCCTCCTGCCTTCTTGCCAGCGATCCAGCCCTCCCTCCTACCCTCTTGTTAGCCATCCAGTCCTCCCTCCTACCTCCCTTTCAGTAATCCAGCCCTCCCTTCATTCTCCCTGCCCACCATTCATCTCTCCCTCCTCCTTCCCTGCCAGGAATTCATCCATCCCTCCTGCCTCTATGCCAGCTATCCAACTCTCCCTCGTATCTCCATGCCAGCTATCCAACTCTCCTTTCAACTTTCCTGCCAGTTATCCAGCCTTCCGTCCTACGTCCCTGCCAGCCACCAAGGTCTCCCTCCTACCTCCCTACCAGCCCTCCCTCCTACTTTCCTGCCAGCCATCCCGCCTACCTTCCAGTAGTGAAGTTGAGGACTAGAACCGTGCGAAACCACCTGAGCAGGTGAGCCTATTGCCCCCCCCCAGCTCAGGTGGTGCACAGGTGTCTAGTTTTCAGGGTTTCTGGGGGTTCCCTGGGGGTGGGCGCGTGCCGTCCGGCCGCGCGGCACCAGTCCTCAGGTAGAATTGTGCCTGTAGGACTGATTCTGTGTGTGGGGTGTGTGGGGGTAGGGGATAATGCGGGGTAAGTGACAGTAAGTGTGTTTAGCATTTGTGGAGGTGTGTGATGTGAAAATATTCGTGTAGATAGCGTAGAGTTAGGCAGTGTAAGTAGTTTTCAGTACAATCTTCTACTCGAAAGAATGCAGCAGCATATAGGTTTTATAGAAATAATATTTGCACAAAGACTGTCAGTGTCAGGTTAAACAACTGGCTGACCTCCAGACGAGCAGAACTAGCAGCATTACAACTAGCTACCAGTACATTAAAAAACATTGGAGGAGGAATAATATTTTGTGATTCAAAGTCTGCTTTTCAAGCAATCAAAAACTTCTCCTGGAAGATCGACAGCAAGAACCTCATACTACCAATTATAAATGATCTAATTGCTGCACAGAGTAAAGGGTCTCGAATCTCTTTTTTATGGATACCTTCAAACATAAATATAACCCATCATAATGAGACAGACATTGCAGCCAAATTAGCGTGCAACAAAGATGAAGTTGAATTAGATCTCGGTATCCCCATCTCTACTGTCAAAACTGTATTGGTTCAAACACTCAGGTCAGATAGGAAATAAATTACTGACTCCCAGCGACCTGAAAGTGCTAGTATTAAAACCTATGATTTGTTCACATCTGAAACCTATATCTATAGACAGCACAAAACGTCCAACAGACTGTGCGACACAGTGGTTGCAAGGATCAGGTTGGGTTACCGTTACCTGTGGCAGGTGGCTACAGATGACAGATCTCCCAATCCCGAGCGCTCAGGGTGCAAACTCTGTGAGCAGGAGCTTCGACATGATCTTCCACACTACATCACCGAAATGCCCAGTTATTAGACCTCTCACACCAGTTGGCATGAGGTACCAGGAGCTTTGCAATTACTTTATTCACTCTCGTATTCTTGAGGATATCCTCACAGTGCACCCAAAATTTGCCAGTGCAGGCTTCTAAACATATGGCCCTGTATGACTAACCATCCTGCGAGATGGGGACTTTTATTACCACTGCTACCTTATCCACTCTTGAGTTGATGATATCCTCAAAATACATCTAGAGTCTACCAGTACAGACTGCCTGTCATATGCCTCTGTATGACTAACCATCCAGTGTGATGTACTCCACTTCATATAGTCTAGGGTAGCTGCACAAATGCAGATGTACCTCATCTATTAATAAAAAAAAAGTCATGGGTCATTTTAATGCTAGACACACTAGCCTGGGTCACACCAAAACAAACAGGAATGGCAGGGTCTTTGTAAAATACTTAAGATATAATAACATGTTCGTATTCAACTTTGACTCCTCTAACGTCACACACCACACGTCATCGCCCTGTTGATTGACGGTTGAGAGGCGGGACCAAAGAGCTCAACCCCTGCAAACACAACTAGGTGAGTACACCTCATGGGTGGCAGGCTTGATTATGTCCTTTGTCGTGGTCTCATTGATAATGCTGTCGGAGGATTAATTGTTCACGAATTAGTTAGTGATCACTTTGCCATATTCAGTTCATACACTATCAATAATGTCAAACCCCTAAACATTGAAAAAAAATTAATATCCCTGAAAATTTACACATGCATCTCAAATTCCGCATTTCTGAATGGTATAACACTTACTGTTTTACTACCGTCAATGCATTATATGAGGACCTGGTCACTGAAGTAACCGCCTTTTATGACACTATTGTAAAATCCACAAGACTCAAAACAGTGGAGAAGGGACAGAGGTGGTTCACTGACTCACGCCTTAAGCCCCTGCATGACAGAGTTCTATTCCTAGCTGAGCAGTATAAAACGCATAAAACAGCTGACACCTTCAACATATTTCTTAAGGCCAGCCAAGAGTTTAGAGAGCTAAAGGAACAGGTGTATAACCAGCACTGGGAACAGTTTTTGCAAGGCATCAATCATGCAAGATCCTCATCCCAAATGTGGAATAAAATTAAAAAGATTTCCGTCCTAGCAGTCGTCAACTTGATCACCATTCACCTGTAGACTATGCCGACATGCTGCTTCAACAATATGCAAGCACTGCCAGTATAAGCAGCCTGCCCCTAGATGTACAACACCATCTGGCTAGTACCAAAATAAATCGTAACATCAATATTAAAATTGCCCGTAGTGAAATAGGGCCAGATGATAACTATGGCATAATCCCCTTTCAAATTAAAAATGCACTCAAGAAAGGTAAGGCTACCTCTCCTGGAGAGGATAACATCAAATACAATACCATGCGAGTACTTGTTGAGCTGGCAAATAGCCCTATGCTAGAATTGTTTAATTAAAGTCTCAGGCAGGGTGTCTTACCTGACCGCTGGACACAGGGACTCGTAATACTCATACCCAAGCCTAATTCACAAAAATTCAGACCCATTTCTCTGACGTCGTGCATGTGTAAATTTCTTGAGAGGATTATCCTTGACAGACAAATGTTTAAAATTAAGCCCCACCTTGCCCCTAACCTGTATGGTTTCCTTCCTGGAAGAAGCACACAAACATGCTTTTCTGAATATTTTAACACAGAGGGACCAAGCTCTCAGGCGGCATTTATTGATCTCCAAACTGCTTTTGATACAGCAAACAGATGAATAATCTTATAACAACTAGCCTGGAGGTAAGGGAAGACTTGATATGGCTCAGGGGTTACCTAAGTAACAGAACCGCCTCAGTACTTTTCAAGGGGTCAAAAGTAAACTTTGTGCACCCTTTGATGCACAAATTAACAATTGATATCCCCACACTCCCTGACGAAGCCGTTATCTGTTATGCCGATGATATACGCATTGTTGCAAATACCCAAACTAGACTGCAAAATCTACTGGATTCACTCGCCGCTAAAAGCATTGAATGTGGTCTTGTTATCTCTATAACCAAATCCAGAGTTCTCCATCCCCAACAGAAAACTCATGTCCCTATAACTTTCTAGGTCAACAACCAGAACATTGAAATGTGTAGGCAGCACAAATAGCTTGGAGTTAGTATTAACAGTGACATTGTAAACGATCTACACCGTAGGTTAAAAGAAAGACTAAAACCATTGAAAACACATATTGGTAAGAATATTGGTATCAACATTAAATATGGTAGACTATTCTATATGATGTTTGTTAGATCTCTCGTTGATTATAATGATTTGCACTTAATTAATTTCCCCTCCTCTTTATTGGACAAACTTGAAGTAGTACAGAATGAAGCCATGAGGATAATTCTTGGTGCCCCAAGATGCACAAGAATCATCAACCTGAGAGAAGAACTGAAGCTTCCAACCACACTAGAGAGAATCATGCAAGTGAACACTACCTTTTGCCTTAAAGTCATCAGAGACCCTACGTCTCCTGCATTGCTCAGAGATAAATTATTTAGTACTGTTAACACTCTATTGACTGGTGCCGACATACCAACTCACTCCTTTTATGATAAATGGCTGAGCAACAATGCCTATAATCTCATTAAACTCAACATTCCTTTTAATTGCAATCTTCCGGTCTCTGATATTCCTCTCTATCTGTACCCCACCATTAAAGTATCATACACACCTGTCACCAAGAAAGATAATGAAAATCTTGCTCTTCTCAAAGTTGTCACACTCGAAACAATTGCCTCCTCATCAAGAATTTAAGATCTCACGAGCACTGTGTATAAACCGATGGCTCAGTCCAATCTTATACTGGACGGACTGGAGCAGCATGTAGGTTTTATAGAAATAATATTTGCCCAAATACTGTCAGTGTCAGGTTAAACAACTGGCTGACCTCTACACAAGCAGAACTAGCAGCATTACTACTAGCTTTAGTACATTAAAAAACATTGGAGGAGGAATAATATTTTGTGATTCGAAGTCTGCTCTTCAAGCAATCAAAAACTTCTCCTGGAAGATCGACAGCAAGAACCTCATACTACCAATTATAAATGACCTAATTGTTGCACTGAGTAAAGGGTCTTGAATCTCCTTCGGTATGGATACCTTCACACATAAATATACCCCATCATAACGAGACAGACATTACAGCCAAATTAGCATGCAACAAAGATGAAGTTGAATTAGATCTCGGCATCCTCATCTCTGCTGTCAAAACTGTATTGGTCCAAACACTCAGGTCTGATAGGAAAGAAATTACTGACTCCCAACGACCTGAAGGTACTAGTATAAAAGATATGATTTGTTCAGATTTGATACCTATATCTATGGGTTGCATAAAAAGTCCACCAGACTGTGCGACACAATGGTTGCAAGGATCAGGTTGGTTTACCGTTATCTGTGACAGATGACGGATCTCCCAATCCTGAGCAATCCAGTTGCAAACTCTGTAAGCAGGAACTGTGGCACGATCTCCCACACTACATCACCGAAATGCCCAGTTATTAGACCGTTCAGACCAGTTGGCATGAGGTACCTGGAGCTTTGCCATTACTTTATTCACTCTCGTATTCTAGAAGATATCCTCACAGTGCACCCAAAATTTGCCAGTGCAGGCTACTAAACATATGGCCCTGTATGACTAACCATCCTGCGAGTTGGGGACTTTT